ATAGAAGCTATTCTTTATCAAGATTCTATTGATCACCTGTTGCAAAAATGGCAAAATATTATTAGAACAATGGCTTTCGAAGCTGTTCTGAAGAAAATAGAAGTTCAATAGTTAGCCAACTGGAGTTTACGTCTTGAACTTCGTTTAAATAATTACCAGTGTTCAGGTAATTAGTATCAGGACTTTTTAGTAGCAGCTAAATTACATAGTTCTTATTCAGTTTAGTGGCTTGTTGCATACTTGTTGTTACAACAGGTAATTGCCCAAATATTTAAAAGAAAAACTATTAAAATTAAACAAAATAAACTTTCAGCAGACTGTCATTTGATGATTAAAAATATTGTTGTCTTGAAACCAGCAAAAGCATTAAAATTCTCCTATATTGTTGGATAGGTTATTTACAAGCTTATTAAAGTGATAACTTAACACAATCGCACCCTCAATTCAATTCTATTTATGCTCACTTGGAAGTTTTAAGCTTGGAAAAGGTAGTTTATGAGCAACATATTCGATCTCAAACAATGAACATAATTCCTGGCCAAGAATTTCTTGAGTTTTTTTATAAGATAGAGTCATTAATACTTTTATTATTCAAAAAGCATAATGAATATAGGCCTAATATTCTTGAATACATATGCAATAGCTTGCTTTGCAACTTACCATTATTGCGATCTTTCAACATACTACTTGATATTGCTAGCAGTTGTCAACATGTGATGGCTGAAAAACAAGAATTAAAAGATGATGTTAGAATGTTTCTTTACAAACAAATTGTATATATTTATATGAGAAGTAGACAGAAGTCCTGGTGAAGCTTCAATAATTTTATTCCTGAAAAAGAATCTTTAAGCTTTGGAGAAAATCTTAAAGGCATGAATAATGATGCCCAAACCTCATCCAAGATTGATAAGAAACTTATGCTAATAAAGAAGACTAATATTCCAACAGACCCTTTACTTGGCTTAAAGCAGCTTCAAACTTGGGTACAGTTAGATGGTGCTGAGGAAGTATTTTCAAGAATTTTTTTAGTTTCAGAATTGCAATGATTACTCTAGACATTTGGAGATAGTGCGACAAAAAAGTGAAAGAAGAACTTGATATCATCAATATTAAATCATTTACTAAAAGGAATTCAATTTTGTGAAGAAGCTATACTAAAAGGACAAATTTTTGCACTTTAAGTTTGGCTTTACTCTATTTTTACGAAAATTTTTTTTTTAGAAATTAAGTAATCAAATATGACAAAACTGTCTTAAATAGCAACAAAATTTTGATTGCTATATTAAATCAATTACAGAATTAACATTTTTGAAAACGTGTATATATTTACTAAAGGAATTATAATAAAAGGCATATTCATTAGAGCTTACTATATATGTATGTCTATGCCCGCTTGAATTATATAAGACTATTTTTTGTCATTAATAAAAAATTGATCGAATAACTATTTGGCCAATTCGATAACCCCAAAACTTATATAATCGATAATAAAGTGATTAAACAAATTTAAATAAATTATCAAAATATTGAATAAAGAAACATCGAATAAAAGTGGAAACGTCGAATAAAATAGCGTAAACAGTTTTTTTTAAGTCTTTTTTTAATTTTTGTGATATATATATTTATGATATATAGCTGATTATACATCAAATGGGCTTAAGAATTTTTTTATCTTTTTTTTTTTTTTTTTTTAGGCTATAGTTTGCTATATCGAAATATATACAAATAGTCATGGGCTGATAAAATATTGTTACTTGTAAAACCTGCACAAAGGTTTCCTGACTTTCGAGCATATGTTCATTATCTTTGACTATTTCTTCAACGTCTACATTAGCAGATTCAATATTCTTCATTAAAATATTAAGGCGCGATCTTGCAACTGATAAAGACGATGTACGATGAAATGCATTATTTATTTATTTATTTATTTTTTGGTATTAAGGTGACCTCTTTGGTCTAGGGAACTTTTTATTAGAGTATAGACGAAGTTTTATATGTAATTACAACGATGGTACATCAAGC